TTTCCTTTTTTTTTTTTTTTGCCACTTGAAAGCATGCATTTCTCTTTCCAAAGACCCAATAGAAATATTATTTTCCCAATGTGTCATATGGCTTTTTTGCAGAACTGGGAATTGAACTCAGGTGCTTGCGCTTGCCAGGCAAGTGCTTATTCTATTGAGCCATCTCCTTGGCCCTTAGTACCTCATCTTTGCAGCTTTGTTTTAATTCTAATTTTGTAGTTGCAACTCAAAATAGACTAAGTCATATTTCATAGAGGAAAACAGCACATTTCAGGTGAGGGGCAGGGCAGGGGTTCTGTCCCGTGTGCACAGGAAATGCTTCCATACATGACAGATCTCTCTCTCTCTCTCTCTCTCTCTCTCTCTCTCTCTCTCTCTCTCTCTCTCTCTCCCCAGAGTAATCCTGCAAAATCACCATCCCCTTGTGTTTGTTTTCACTCTGATCCTCACTGTCCCTCCACTCCAAGGCTTTATTTTATCCCACTATTTCCTTCTGTGAAAAGAAGTTAAGCCCATATATTCAACCTATTCCAGGAAGAGCCAGCAGGAGTCAGGCTTTGGCAGCAAAGTCCTTCCCACCCCTTGGTTTAAGTTGATCTAAGTGAATTCTCCAGGGTGTTCTCTCTGGAGCTTGTGCCACTTCACAGTAGATGAAGGAATCATCTCATGGGGCAAAGCATCCGGGTGAAGAGTACTGGAAAACGGACTCCCAGGATCTCTGAAGATTGTGTGGAGTCTAAGGCTTGGGGTCATGGATGGTTTTTCAAAGAGTAATATCTTCTGTAGCTTTACATAACATCATCATAGTCTGAGTCTATGTTTTCTGCTTTTCTCAGCCTGGAATAGATGTCTGGAAAGACCTAGAAGCAGAAGTAATGGTAAGACAGAGCAGAAGACAAGGACAGCATGCCCTTCCCATGTCCTTTTCCAGTCAGGTTACATGTGTACATGTCACACTGCACACACCAAAAAAAAAAAAAAAAAAAAAAAAAAAAAAAAAAAAAAAAACCCTCTTAGAAAGGGCTGTGGCTTCCCCACACACACACTTTTCCAGGGGGTTTGCCATCCATTGGAGGCCACAGAAGTGCTCCTGATAGGTGCAAACTGACATAACAAGGCCTCCCTTACTTTTACAGGCCATTGTTGGGCAGTCCCATGGGCTGCCAGCTTTAAGGATGGGAACAATTCATAAACTAAATTTAGCAAGTCATTGGAATTTTCCCAGGACTTGAATTCTATCCACAGACATCTGACTCCCACACTGTACTAGCCAAGACTACAAATCACCTACCATCACTGTATACATGTGCAGAGATGGAATACCTACAGCTTTTCAGAAAGTATTTTTGGATCGTTAGTAGCATCATGAGTTTTTCAGAGTTTGGACCTTGCCAATTTTTCATGACACAAATCATTATTAACTTAGCTCTCTTCAACCTTTAGTTTGTTGTAGATTATTATGTTAACCTAAGTGATGCATATAGAGTCTGATGCTGTTTTGCAACAGATTTTTAAATAAGCAAAACTTTTTAACTAAGTATACACTCTGACTGAAATATAAATAGAGTATGTGTTCACTACTCCAGTAAAGGTACATGTAAACCTCCCAAATTCTCTTGGATAGTGATTTGTTATTATCATGGTTACCTCTATTGTGTTGGTAGATAGGGGACCTTGGGACTTTTTTCTTTTCCTACATGGCTATAATTTAAGAACCATCATTTATAGGATGCAGAGAGATGCATGATGAAAAGAACCATGCGGTCCTACTTACCTTGTTCTCTACATGCGTCCCCATGTGTCCAACTAAGGAGAAAAAGGTGGTTATTGTGAGATTCCACTTTTAATGATCTTTCATTAAACTCCTGTTAACACAAGTGTCTTCCTTTCCTACGCATTCCCCATGGGTTGATTTCCAACATTCTAACCTGTGTTGCTTTTCTGTCACAAATATGATTACCTTGCTATTCAAGAAAAAAAAAATGGTAGCCTGGGGTAGATGAGTAAGTAGCCATTCCTGTCACCCTTCCCCCTACAGGCCCAGCATAGACAATACCTTTTCACCTCTTAGACTTTCTAGACCTGCCATGTGTAAGGCGACTTCTGCAGCAAACAGGCAGCTGTGATGGGGTGCTATAGAAGTACATAGGGATACTTTAAAAGGGTAAGCAGAGGCCGCTGTCTCTAGGACTCTTATCTGCCTGGGAACTGGGGTACCAATTAGGTCAAGCTAACATGAGCACTGGGCTGTACTTGAAGCCATGAGATACTGCCAGACCAAAGCTCAGTCAGAGGGGTGGCAGAGATGCACACAATCAGCTTTGAAAACAGAAAGCAGCTGCTTGGAGCAGGACATCCATGCACAACGACAGCTATTCTCTTGGATCCAGGAAAGGCAAAAATGAGAGGGAAATTTATACCTTTTTATGCCTTACCTACTACTGGTTCTCGCTCCTGCTGTGCATGGTACACCAGTGAATAAATCTTATCCCCACTTCCAACATTTACTGCAAGAGAAAAAAAAAGGAGACATCGTGTCATAGTCCCCTCTTCCTGTCATGCCATTTGCTCCATGCCTATCATAACCATGGAAGAAGGTGAGTCATTCACATAGAGGGAGTCCAAGCAGAACAGGATCAAGGCTGGCTAGGAGTGGACATCCCACCGTCAAGCTCATGATGCCCACTTTGGCCCAGGTCGTTGGGAGCACTCACCATTTTCATATGAAGACTGGAGCTGCAATGCATCAGGTGAGTTGAGGTAGTTAGATTGCTGGATTACACGGCTGCCAGGGCTCCTGCAAATACAGAACCAGAGACTACCCATCTGTAAGAGCTTCTGCAGAGCTCAGGTGCAACCATTGGAGATTGCAAAATAGTGCAGAGAAACCTGTTTAAAAGAGTTCTGGGGGGCCGGGGAGATAGGTTAGTAGAATAAGCGCTTGCCTGGCAAGCGCAAGGTCCTGAGTTCAATCCCTGGTACAAAAAAAAAAAAGTTCTGGACAGGATAGTAATTCAAAGGTACTCGAAAGGACAGCTGTATGGTATAAGCCATGGCTCCCTATATGGGCTGTATGGGGTATTTCAGAGTTACCGCACTGCATATAAGTTACCGCACTGCATTATACCACAAATATAAGTTCTTTTGCAGCTGGTTCACTGTCACACTGGCCATACCTGGAATAGTGCTCAGTAAATATTAAATAAAGACATAAAATATAAGCAGCTGGCCAGACTAACAACTGGAAGAAGGAGCAAGAGAAAATATGGCCATGCATGCAATCACTGAAAGAGTGATATGGAAAAAAATATCTGTTCATTGGGGACATAAGCCATAACAGAAAAAATATATATATCTACTAAATAGTGCTATCCCTAGATTGAAATATTTTTTTGAAATATTTTTAAATATTTGCTTCCTGTGAACTTCTAAAGAATGCCATCAACAATTTTTCAGCATGTTTGTTATACCGTCATGCATTGCTGAACCATGTATATATATATTTTTACCTTCCCCAGTATGTTCTTTTTTTTTTTAATTTTATTTGTGTGTGTGTGTGTGTGTGTGTGGCCAGCTCAGCCCGCCAGGGGGCGGGGCTGGCTGACATGTGGTGCTGGGGGATTGAACCGC